ATTATTCTAGAATGGATAATATTTCAAGAGTAAATGTTAGTAAAAATCGGACAAGGAATAGTGATGATCTTGGGCAAAAATCAAGTATAACAATATAAATAATTGAGTCATGGTGCAGTTATTTTTGAGGATTTTAGGAATTGAGTTAACAGAAAATAATTTATACTATATATGTGGTGTAAATTATTTTGTTGTTGACTCAATTCCCAAAATCCTCAAAAATAATTGCGTTATGACTCAATTTCTAAAATTCTCAAAAATAATTGCGTCATGACTCAATTATTTATATGTTTTAATGGTGACTCAATTAATTGTGTCAAATAATTGCATCAATTGTGTCAAGGATCTACGAATTTCAGCAACATGTATAACTTACGCCACATATATAAACTATACTTTATTTTAATCAATCCCAATTCTTTCCATTTGTTAACTTATCAAAACTAAGAAGTCTTAAAGCAAATTAACTATTATTACCCTATGAAATAATATAGGGATTATATAATAAGACAGAATATATAGGAGTTGTACCTGGCTTATTATTTATATTTTTATATTTGACAGCTTATATCAACTGGTTCAAATTTAAGATATCTACTAAGAGGTTTAAGGTCGATCTGTAGATAATGCTTTACAAGCCCACATTTATATAGATTTTTTAAAAGTTGGATTTTACTTGATCAAATGAGCTCCTATATTTGATAGTTTGTATTAACTAGCAATTAAAACTAGAGTATTTACTAGAGAGTATATATTTGAATTAAAGGTTTTCTTTATACTTATAAGCTGAATAGACATAAGATATAAAGTAACAGATAACTAATAGAGATAATTAATAGTATATGTCTAAGCCCTATAAAAATATAAGCTTTATAAGTTAGATAGTTTAAAACTAGTGATATAATTTCTATTCTCTTATAATTTCTGACATTATAAGAGAAAGTTATTATTATTATTATTATTATTATTTTAAGGTGGAAGTGTGATGCATCGCAAGGTTTTTATTATATAACAGATCAATTATATAATAATTACTTATATTATATATATCACTTTATACAACAATGAAGGTATGCCACTAAAAACTTGTACAAGTCAATACTATGTATTCTATACAGATTATTTCTTACATTTCCACCTTACTCTAGTGCCCAGGAACCTATCACCTAGTGATTTCACTATGTGACACTAGGATGGAACCTATAGGGTGTAGAATGCCTACCACTAATTTAAACTACCTAATCCATATGGTCCAGTTTTGTTTGGAGGTATCTTGATTAAGGAGGTTAGTCCAGGTGCCTCCTCACTTTATCACCCAGACCTCAAATCATACTCTTGCTACCTTTGACTGGTCTTACACAAGACTTTGATCCTTCTTACCACCTGCGGCTGGTTATTTTTCAAACCAATTAGGCTCTGCACCAGATTGGGATATTCTAGGCTAGGGCTCTAATCACTGTTGAAAGGAGCGGATATTGTTTATTTGATATTAATATACTATATAATAAAATATTATTATTATTATTATTATTATTATTGTTTTGTTATAAAAATAAATAATTATAATAATTGATAATATAACTTCAATAGATATAATTGATACAAATATTATATTGATTTTTAAAAAATAATAAACTAATATTAATTTTTTATCAGAAAAAATTATATATATGTACATGTACAGTATATATAAAAAAATATATTAAATCAAATATATATTTTTTATATAATTTTTATTACGGAATAATTTAGATCTTATAAAATTATATTTTTATATAATTTGAATTTTTAAAATCAAAATTTAAATTTAACATATAATAAAATTATAATATACAATATTTCAAACTATATATTTTATTTTATTAATTTTTTTTTTTAAATGCGAATAAGCATAAAATGCGACAAACAATATATTTTATTGTTTTAATAAAATTTAAATTAATATAAAATATAAAATTTTTAAAATTTTCTATTATAATATATATAATTAAAAAATTTAGAAAAAATTAAAAAAATTAAATAATGTTTTAAATATTATAACCTTTTAATATTTGATATTAATAAAAAAAAATATAATTTTAACAATATTAAAAAAAGATATCGAGCGAATTCTTTCTAAATGCACTTTTCTTAAGACCATAAAAAATTTAAAAAATGCACATTTAAAGAGTATGTATATTTATTAAAGAAAATTTTATTAAGAATTCTATGTATATGAGACTAAGCTTGACCATGTATATAGAGAGAGATAACATAATGAGTGCATTTAGGGTTCTCAATATATTTATTTTATAATAATGGTAAAAAATTCGTCAGTTTTTTCTGCCAGTACTGTATTTGCAAAAAAAAATAATAAGCCACTGCGATAACGGACAAAGACAAGTAATTTTTAATATGAGGTTAGACCATTTTAAACTGCGGTATTATACAAATATATATCGAGTTATACAAAAAAAAAAAATGAAAGGAAAATCCGAAGATAAACTAATCAAAAATATACACGACTCAACAAATTAGTGAAAAGACTTGGTGTTACGCTTGCTAGTCCAAACTCACCCATACAGTATATACAATACAATACAAAATAAGGAAAAATTTATATTATCGCTACAATGTTATAATGTAATTGAATTATTGAATTCTACAAATAAATAAAACGGATTATACATTAGCCAAATAGTTATACAGTATTTTTTTTTTTTTATCAATCCAAAAATTGATGGAAAGCTTCCCTACTTATAAATAAACTTTATATCAGGGTTTCGTATTTAATATAGTATATTAAATGCGTTTTTTTTTCGAATATTTAACAATTACGTTTTAGACAAGCAAAGAAAATTTCACATCTTTTTTTTTTGACCATATTTAATCTTTTTAATTGTACTGCTGCGAAATTTTTTTTATTTATACTCCATAACATAAATATTATTTACTGAGTCAAGTAAGTACAATGAGTTCCGAAATTTGGTTTACATAATACAACTTCATCATACCTTTTTTTTTTATTTATACAGAAGCTTCGCATTTATACACATTACACATTTCATTGCTGCGCCTTACTAAACGATTTTACAATTTTTAGCGAATGAATACCAAATAAGGAAATAAAGACGCGGTATTTTATGCGAGAATGCTATATAATACTAAAAATTTTTCACCCATTCGCTTCTTGCCCTATCTCAGAGGATAAAAACCTAAATTCTCCTCCTTCCAATAACGCTCCTACAGTTCCTATACAAAAGATCCATTTCCTTTTTTAAAAAATGAACACACAAAAACGCAGAAATATCACTTTAGCATGCAATAATTGCAGGAAAAAAAAGTTAGGTGCGAGAGAGGATCCTCTCAGTGTTTAAGGTGCAAGAATGATAAAGTGGAATGCCACTTTGTAAAGGCCACTAAGAAGAGAGGGCCACTTAAGAAAAGCTTATGCAACAATAACGACAAACTACCTGAAAATCATTTGTCTAATAATCGATTTTCCGACTTTATGAAAAGTATAAAGGATACGGAAAAAGTTTCCAATACTACAAAGGATCTCCAGCCAAGAGAAGAAAATCGAAAGTTCGATGCTAGCCCTAAAGAAGAAGATAAAGGAGGTAGAACAAAAAATCCTTGTTCGAATGGAACGGAGAATCAAATTTTCGATATGAAAAATAGTAGCTGTTCTCAAGGAACAGAGTATCAATATACAAGCCTAGAAATTTTTGACATTAATGAAAATCTAATTTTTGACATTAATGCTTTTGATAATAATTTATCTGAAATTTCAGAATTTAATTCAAATCATTTAGTAGAAAAGAAAGATCAATTTTATGACCATTTTACGACTGATGACAGTTCTCATGATTCGATTAATGAAGTTTACTCCAAGATGGTTTTTTAAATTTAATATCGACGAAGATATTTATTATATATAGAAGTATATACAATATGTAGTATATTCTTAAGATTCAATTTTCGCTTAAAATTATGTAAAGATATTATCAATTCTATATAAGTAAATAAAGTTTCCTTTTTTTTTTTTAAGAAACCTTTTTCCATAAGCGTACTATTAGTAAGAGCAGTCGCGTGGATTTTCTGGAACTATGCTTTGCATATATAAACTCTAGAAAATCAAATAAAAAACAGAGATAATTCTTCTCTGATAAATATCATTAAAACGGATCCATAAATATCAAACAATATTTTTATATATAATAAAATTCATTAGAAAATTTTTGAATATAAATTAATAATTTATTTTTATAAAATAAAAAAAAATTTTTTTTAATATTAAAAAATATAATATAAAAAACATAGTAGTAATAGATACGATGAAAATAATAATAATATAATAAAATCAAAATTAATATAATGAAAAAAGTTGTTTTTTATTAAATATATATAGTGTGAAACAAAAAAACTTGTTTTATCAATATTTTTATATTTTTTATCATATTTCAATAACTAAATAATATAATAATATAAAATTTTATACTTACATATTTGAAAATATAAAAAATAAGTAGTTTACTTAAAAAGGTTTTTAAATTTTAAATTTATTATTAAATTTTCAATAAAAAATTATTTTGAATTTATTATAAAAAATCAATAATAAAAAAGTAGTTTAATTATTTTAATATATAAATTTGTTAATCAAAAATCAAAAAAATATAAAATTGATTTTTTATAATTTTTTTATAAATTATTAAAATTTTATTATTAAATTATATATTTTAAATTTAATAAAAGTTATTTTGAAAAACTAGTTTTTTAAAAAATTTTTTATAAAAAAAATATATAGTGTATTACAAAACTTTTTAAAATTATTTATTTATTTATTATTCAAAAACTATTGTATAAAATTTAATAAATAATATATTAAATAAAGCTTAAAATCTAGAAATTATAATAATATAAATTTTATATAAAAATGTTTTTTAAATTATTTTGAAATTAAATTTTGAAATTAAATTTTTTAAGTATTAAAAATTAATCACAAATAAAAATTTCATTTAAATTATTATAATTTTATAAATATTAATTCAATAACTTTAAAAATTTGTTAATTTAATCTATAAATTTTTTATTTTTTTAAAAAAAAATTTATATAATTTTTAATTTTTTAATTTTTAAAAATAAAATATAAAATTTTATAACTTTGTAAATTTAAATAAAATAAATCTAAAAATTGGCTAATAATAATATTATTATTATATTTTTTTTAATGAAAATTTTAATTTATTTTTTAATTTATCATTAATTAAAATTTCAAAAATTTCAAAAAAAATTTCAAAAAGTTTTGCAATACACTATATATAATTTTAATAAAATAATTTAAATTAAAAAAAACCCTTTCTTATATATAACATTTTTTTTTACCTTTCAATACTTATATTTTTTTATTTTTATTATAACAATATTAAAAAATTAAAAAAATATACTAATGCATTGAAATAAAATCTTCAGTTAAAAAAAACAAGTTTGAAAATTTTGCTTTTTCTTTAAATTGCATAAAAAAAGACTTATAACAATTACTTATTTATAAATCTTTCTTAGATTCTTTTTATTTTTACTTTTTATAAATATCAAAATTCATTAAATAAATATATATTTTCTTTAAAAAATTATTTTTTAACTCAAAAATAAAACTTTACTTAAAAATTAATTATACTGTTGACTTAATTTACTAGTGATATATATAATGTTTATTTGTTATAATTATTTAGTATATTTTACTATATTACAAAAAATCCAAAACTTCTATTTAAAAAATTTTTTATCAAAAAACTATAATTAATTTATCTTTGTTAACTAATCTATATCTCTAACTTAATTAATTAAATACTATTAAATATTATAAACATTTTGAAAAATATCATATAACAAAATTAAATTAAAACATTAACAAACCTAACATCAAAAATTATTTTAATAAAACAAAGATAATAAAAAATTTTTTATATCATTTATTATTTAATTTATTTAATATTTATTTAATATTTAGTAAATATATAATTCTAAAAAAAAAAGACATATGAATCTACAGTATAGTATAGTAGTAATGCTTCATAGGTCATCAGAAGAAGATTTAAGATTCAAACTTATTTGGTTATAAAAATTTATTATCTTTATAATTGGTTGACTGGCTTTCAATTTATATTGTACCCAATTAGCTAAAAATCAACTTCCAAATTTAGTTAGGCTATATAAAGATGTGACCTCTGATCTTCTTAACAATTGCAGGTTAAAAACAGGATGAAATAATGAAAGTTGCACAAGAAAAGGTTTTGGTCTAACTTCAATAATAAGTTTACAAATTCTAATCCAAATTGGTGATAACAGACTCTATTATATGACATAAAGAAGCTAATTTTAAACTAATCTATTTCAAGAGTGATGTTTTTCTAAACTTAAATAAACTGAAAGGACAAAGGTAAGGATAGAACATTTCACAAATAAGTAGCTTGAGTTTAGTTCTAGAATGTCATTCTATTAATTCTTGGTTTCAAAATTTAAAGTGTTGAAATTAACAGTTTGTCCAATAAACTAAATATTATACAAATTTTATAGATAACACAAACTAAACTTAGCTTGTGTTAAACTTGATTCTTTTTATTTTTTTTTATATAATAAAAAATATTTGACAAAGAAATTCTTTATGAAGATAATGATTTTTTTAATAATTTTTTTGAAAATAAAAATAAAACAAAAATTTATATAATGAAAATAGTCAATCTTTTCATGATATAGATTTGGAAATAATTGATTTTGAAATTGTTATCTTTGAAAGTTCAATCAAAAGTTTAATATGGAAATATTTTAAAAAGAACCTATCTAATGCATCAAGTTACAATGTATATAAACAATGTTTTAACAAATATAAAATAATAACAAGTATCACCTTCTTAAGAAAACATTTAACAAAATATCATTTAAAAGTATTTATAAAAAAACAAAAAATCTTATCTTTTAAAAGAATAGATTTTTTCAATAAATATAAGCAAAATGAACATAATATGTATTTTATTCAATGATCAATTTGTGATCTTCAACTATTTACTGTAATAGATAATTATTATTTTAGAATACTCATTAATTTTCTATGTTTATACTATATCATTTCTGATTAATATTAAACTAAAGGTAAAATATAAGCCAAATTCAGCTTATGTAAAAATTATTATTTATATTTAACTAATGAAATTTTTTTTGAGGAGTTTTTTCCAGTAGGTAAATATCATTTCTTTATTTTTATTGTATATTGTAAATATACATTATGAAATAAACAACATTTTTTAGGTATGTATTGCATATAACAAGTTAAATGCTAACTTGTCTACTTGATCACTATTTAACTAATATTGTAAAAAGAATTTCAAAAGCAATATTAAAATGTTAAATAATGGAGTAGCGGCTATGCCTACTTACTCAACAAAATTTTGCAAAATCTTTTGATTTTTTGAATAAAAAATAAATGAAAAGAAAATAACAATGGTGACTAAAACTAAAACTAAATCGAATAAACTATAAAATCTATAAGTAAAAATCCAATTATTTCCTCAAAAAAGTTCCAGACAGATGTGTAGTCCCATCTCTCTAACTCTTTGGTTACTATAGATAGAAGAGTACACATGATATCATTTGTTGTTATAGTTGTTGTTGTTGTTATACTGGAAAACCGGTTTAAACAGGTTCAGTTTTTTTCTTGTTGTTTTGACGAAATCTGATTGGATGATTGAAAAGTAACGATTGTCTGAAGGGAGTAAACTGATTTTGGTTTTTTGAACAAAAAGTTTTGAAAATTTTGGAATGGTGCAGTAATTGTCACCATGATAAGGTTGTATGTAATGGTTGTGTTAAAACAAACAATAGATCCAATAACTCTATTTGAATGTATTTTTTGGAAAGTATTTGACTTAGCGTGTATAATGGTATTGATATAGTTGATTTTTATATTATGATAGGTGAAAGGAGGGGTGTAAGAAAACAAAAGAAAAGAGAACTGCTATGGGCCTTTCCTCATGCAACCGAAGGATAAGCAAAACTTCCAAACTTGAGTAGACTTTGACCAGAGGTTCCATCCCACTACACCAGTTGTCTTGAAAGTTCTTGAGTTCTTGAGCTGAGGCTCATATACATGTGGCATAAATTATTTTGCTGTTGACTCAATTCTCAAAATCTTCAAAAATAATTGTGTCATGACTCACTTATTTATATGTTTTAATAATGACTCAATTAATTGCGTCAATTGTGTCAAGGATCTACGAATTTCAGCAACATGTATAGAGGCTCACTTGTAATAAAGAGTGTAAAACATTTTTTCTTGACAAAAATTATCATAAAAGAAAAATTTTTAGCAAAGTAAACACGATCAGGAGAGAGTTTTTAACTAATGAAATCTTTTAATTTATTAATTTATATAATAGAATTAATAATTAATGAATTTGTAAATCAAAGAGATAAAATAACTAGAGAATTTTATTAAATCCTAGGAAAATATTCATTAATGATTGATATGTAAACTTTGACTATAAATAGAGTGGCTTTTTGGGAGCTCACCGTTCACTATATAGATTCTAATTGGTGTCTTTATAACTTTTTTCTTGATATTATCTCTTTTAAGATCAATTACTTAAGAATAAATTTACAAAAAAAATAATAAGAGTTTTAGAAGAATTCAATATTACTAAAAAAATTATTACATTTATAATAAATAATATATCTGCAATATTAATTTGTAGAAAGGAGATTATCTTAAATCTTGATAATAAATTTTTATCACTTATTTTTTTATATTATTATTGTATAGCACATATCTTAAACTTAGTAGTATAACAAGAATTAAAATTATTTGATAATATTATTGATAAGATATATACTTTAATAAGCAAACTCAAAAAT